ATAAACAGGCAATTTTTAACAAATACCTTGTTAGGTGTTACCTGTTTGTCTTCCTGAGATTTACTCCCTCTGGTACTATTGCAGTGATCGTAGATCAGATGACCACTGACCTATTTGTGGTCACTCTAATGCCTTATAAATAAGCTCTAAATTAATATCACGAAAAGTAGTATTCCTGTTAGTTCATCATCTGGTTAATTCTGCTTCCAGTGTATTATTACTTCAGCTCCCGTATTCACTGGTGCCATTTCTATTCTTCTTTCGTGTTGTTTCTATTCTATTTGTTATTGTTCTTTTCCTTAAAATCTTTTTCCTTTGCCTGCGTTATTTGAGTAAAAGCATTCTTTGTTTTTCTGAACTAGAATACATTCTGGAACTCACGATTTAGAAAGCCTGAATAAAAATGCAACATACCTTTTTCTTGTACTGCAGTATCATTGCTTTGCTAGTAATGCATCAAACCTGTAGCAGTACCGGAAAAAGCTTCAGCAATTAACCAATTTACTTTTCAAGACGTTTTCAGAAAAGTTTTTGACAACAACGGGTGATCTTTGGCTAGGAAGTGCAGCAGATTAAGCTGTCAAAAATCACTTTAAACTTAGTGACTTATATCTACACAATTAAAGCTATTAGAAGCAAAATATTACTTTTGACAAGAAGTAACCCCAATTAAAATTTTACTTAGTGTTTGACTTGAAGCTTTGATAGAATAGCTGATTAGTCGTTATATTTTCTATCGTTACTTTTATTTTCACGGATGATTACGACAGAAAAAAAAACACAAAAAAAACACACTTCGGCTTGGTCATTTGACATTATTATGAAGCAGTAGGCAAGTGCACAGTGCAAGTGGAAATAGAACTCATTTTCCAAGGAGTATGGAGTTTATCTTAGATTAAAAGTAAAATAAGTGATCAAATTTACCAAATAAAATTGTTTACCTTAACAGAGTTTTTGTGTAACGATAACAACGATTAAAGGTCTTATAAGGTTTTTAAAAACTTGTGGTACGAAAAGAAGCTGCAACCTACCAAACATGGAAACACTGCCACCACTCGACGACCATTACAAAAGTATGTTTTGGTTCAAAATTTGGGTGCTATCCACAAGACCAAATTTTTTTGACAAGAACTTTCTCTCTTCAGTAAGCTTACAAGTAAGAAGTAGCAATAAGTGTTTGTAACTAAAAAAACCAACCATAAAGTATAATTAGTTTAAAGGAATCTGAAATAAGCAACACGAGTAAGCGAAAATTTCTACGCCGTTAAAGTTTTTGTCTACCTCTGTTGTTATGTGTGCTATAAACTTTTAATCATATTATTTTGAAGGTAGAACATTTTTGCAGCATTTAGATTCTCTTCTATTTCCCTGATAAACCCTTTCCTAGCCGTTAAAAATGAGGCATTTGACAGAAAGAGATGTTTTCTATACTTTGCCAGTATCAACATCTCGTTTCTCTTTGACTCTTTCATTCTTTATTTTTGTTGCTTTTTCTAATCTCAAATTACAAAGATCATTGTTTAGACAAAATGTTTACATATCAGAAGCACAAATAAAAAAATTTTGCCGCAGCAAGCAAAATGGTTTCTAAAGCTTATAATCACAGAAGCGCTTGAAAAGTGGCCAAAAATAATAGCAGAAAAAACTTTATTGAACTGTTTTTAAAGGTACTGCCATTGATATTTTAATATGGCAACCAAAACTTATATTATGAGCCAATTTTGTTCTATGACTAAGGTAATAATGGTTCACCACGAAACAGCACCTTATTAGCAATCACTTTGAAGGCAATGTTTCGTTTAAAAAGCACTGTAGTGTAGTATCAACCAACAAGCCTCTTCTATTTTTTCTCATATTCTAAGATGATAGACGTCAGTGTTCGTCATTTACTCACTGAATCTGTGTGATTCTAATAATCAAGAGCTGTTTTTAAAGTTCTTGCTAATTATGGATGATTTATTGTCAAAAGCAAATTAAATGATACGGGGTAAAATCTAATATTAAATATGATATAATGCAGTTTCTTGAGCTTATACTCTGCAAGCTTAAAAATTTTGTTCTTTCAAATGTTTATTGATTTTTTGAGAGATATAATTGTTCCTTTTTTCTCTTCTATCGAAGCACTTTTTTGTTAAAATTATATAAAAGTAAATTTCAGTAGCGTTTCATGGAAAATAATTTAGTAAGTTCAGTCTTTTGTTTGCAACAAAAATGACCAAGCTCTACCGCTTGAAAATGAGGTTTCAGTGACCAAGTTTCTAAAAACCGCAACTGAAAAAAACCTGAAACGTTTTTTACACTTCGCTATTCTCGACTCAATTTACTTTTGTCCTCTTCTTTCTTCTACGCTTTTTTTTACCTGTCTTCTTCTCCTAATATCTGAAAGTCTCTAATCTTGAAAACTGCTAGTTTCAGAAAACGACAATGATTACAGTGATCAATCGTTGAAATAACAACATAAATTTTATGTATGTTAGCAGAAGAGAAATAGGTTTGGTAATGTTTTAGGACGAACAAATTGAGAGCGGAAATACAATTTATGGCACTATTGGGATAGCTACCGTCTATTTAAGTTTGCCTGATCCGTTGTGTAACGCACATCTTTTGCGTTTTGTTCATGTACTGCTGCTTGGACCTTCATCATTTGTTCAAAGCTTGTAATGCATGATGTTTTTTAGCCAATTAAAAGGTTTCCATTTTTTGAGCAAATCTGCTTATAAACAAAAACAAAAAATGAAAATGCTGACAATATTGGCACTTATTATTTGACACTCATTTCCAATTTATATCTGTATGTCGCCACAAAATCAGTTTAAGCATGTTTTACAGTTGCAATAAATCAGTATCATTTAACACTGTCCACAATCAAGGTTGTTTTTATCAACATATAAGTATAAATTTATTTATGTTCAGATTGATTAATGGTCGCTACTATCTGTTTTTTATTTTTCCATTTTTTTAGAAATTGGAAAGTTTCTTATATCGGCAGTTTTTATCACGTTGATATCGTCTTGCTTCTTTCTAAGTAACTGCTTTTCTTCTGTTTTTCGTCGACTGCGTTACATGTTGTCATTCTGTAATGTATGCAAAAGAAACAGTAAGAAAGTTTATCTAATCAGTGTTGCTTTAAAAATAATATTTGTATGATTCAAGCGAAAATAGTTGTTTTATTCAAGCACATTTTAGTTGACAAAAAAAAAGCAAATCTCGAAACACAATTTTTAAACACGGTGTTTAACTAAAAAGTTTATACTTCAATACCTATTGTACTAAATTAATGACTTTCTCAGATACAGAATAAAGGTCGCTTTTATTATTTTAAACTTAACAATTTTTACGGGGTTTTTGGGTGAAAAAGGGTCACTTTGTTTATAAGTCTCATTCATAGACAGCGACGTATTTTTTTAATTTATATTTGATAGTACCTTTTTGTCAGCTCAAACTTTTTTCTGTATTTAGAAACGCAGAGGTTGACAAATACTTGGCAACTTGTCTACGTCTGCTAAAGCTTTGCAGATTCAGAAGTTATCTAAAATTTTTTTTCAACTATTACAATTGAAAAACTTCTTTTTCTTTTTTTTTTTTTTTTT